ATATAAAATATAAAATATAAAATATAAAATATAAAATATAAAATATAAAATATAAAATATAATAATATAAAATATAAGACAAAATATAAAATGTAAAATGTAAAATATACAATACAAAATATTGAGAATATATACATATGTATGTATATCGAATCAAGTTACGTTATTCATATTCCTCTTTTTAACCCGCCTTCAATGAGCAAGCATACAAATATGATAACCGACGCAGAAAGTTAAGTAGATGCAAACTTTATCTTAAGTAGCGGCATCATATTTTCACAATGATGTGTAATTGCCGGCAATAATAGTGCAAATTTTGCAGAGAGGCAGCACGCCTCTCTCCGCCCTCTCTTTCTCTCTCCTCCTTTACCCTTCTGTATTGTGAGACAGGCGGCTGCTGTTCATTTTCGCTCTTGACACAAAAAGCGCTGCGAGTGAAGCGGGGCTTGGACCAGAGAGATGGTTTTTGTTGCCGTTAAGACTGTTGCCTGGGACTGATAGCTGCAACAGCTAGCAAGTTGAGTGCTGAAATTCAGCATCATTGCATACACACAGAGAGAGTCTCTTGCATGTGGCACAATAAATCCCTTTTTAAAGTAAGTGGTGTATGTGAATATGTATGTGCATTGCATTTTGTTTGGCTAGCTTTGCTGCATGCCTCACGCTGGCTTGCTGCATGACTTAAGTTTTCAACACACGCACACACACACACACACACACACACACGGGCACACACATGGCATGGCAGTCATTAAACCAACACATGCGCACTTGGCAACTTGTCAGGACGTGCTCTGTGCGTCCTTTAAGAATACGGCAAGCTTGAAAGGCAGTATAAGTAGTAGAAAACGGCAGCATATTAATCTTATCAACAACAACAACAACAAATGCAGAAAACAATAGCTGCAGGAGCAGCAGGAGCAGCAGTTCGCTGCATTCCTTGCTTTGGCCTTTCTGCCTTCCTTTTGCCCTGCCAAGCGGAACACGATTTTAAAGCCTTTCTGCGCTGCCCTTTGTACTTCACACAAAGTACAAACTGAAGTTCATTATAAATAAAAGGATCACGAGCCTGACTTTTTGATTCTTAAAGTCTGCTTCAGACAGTTGCTTTTTGAGTTCTTCTTTTTTTTCTTCTTTTCTCATCATCAGCTGTTGCTCTATGCATAAATGTGAAACCTATGACGTGTTATGAATATTTAACATGGTTGAATACGACTCGATATGGAGTGAATTTATATTTGTTTTGTTTTCCCAATAAACGTAAAGTTTGGCAAGTTGCAAAAGAAGGGTGTGAGTCTTCTATATATTTTTTAATAAATCTTAAACTTTTCTAAGTTCATATCAGGCTAAATGAAATTAAAAAGAATATAGAATAATATTTTGAGAGCTTTTATATACTTGTATACTTTATTCATAGCTGCAATATACTCCAATATACATAAATTTGAACCTCAATTTAAATTATATTCTATCTGATATTCTCAGTTAATATTACATATTTTCATTTCACAGAATTAACAAATTTCATAATACTTTATATCATAATCTGCTTTAATTGTTTTATTTATTTATTTATTTTTTTTTTCATTTTTAGAAATACATTAATATGTTTTTATAAATACTTTAATCCATTCAATAATTAAGAGTCAATCAAATTTAATCATGTTCGGTTTTTTTGAGCTGTCATATTCTTTTTATACTATTTTTTTCTCATTTTTCTGCGTCATTTATATTTGCTGCCTTAACAAATCCATAACAGGATAGGATGGGTAAGTTGAAATTTGTGCTCGACTATCGGATACTGCGCATTAAATACTCTAGACTTATTAACTTCAGTGAGTATAAATTAATTAAGATATATATGTATGTATATATAAATTGAAATATACATAAATGAAATACTCTTGAATATTTACGTAAAAACTAAAAAAAAAAAAAAAAAAAAAAAAAAAAAAAAAAAAAAAATGCAAACAAATAACAATATTACGACAAAAATTTAAAATCTTAATAATAAATGAAAATAATAATGTCTCAATCTAATCAAAGTTTTTTATTTTAGATGTCATAAGACTTAAGGCTTATAAGAATGTTAGTATATTTATTTAGTTAGACAAAGGCAAATATGCATGTGTATACAAACACTCTCCGTTATAGGATATACCCATTGCTTATAATCCCATTACGCCTTATCAAAGAGGTATTAAATATATAGGTATACCAATAATAAAACTGAGTTTTAATGTTTAGTAAAATAAAGCCATATTCTTTGAACATCCTCGAACATCATACTCCGTTATAAGGCATTACCATTACTCAGAATCCCTTTAAACATTTAATATCTAAGAGGTATTATATGGTGATTTACACAAATAAACGCGAAAAGGCTGCTGAATTTTATGCACATTTAATGCTGTTGCCGCACATTTTGACAAACCCCGTGCCAGGACTCACAGCCACAGCGACGACTCGGCAAGTCCTTTGGCTGCAGTTCCTTAGATGCGCAGCGCCAACTGTCAGTCGCCTTAAGGACTTTGACGTTCATTTAGTTGACGCGTTGGCGCGCGCTCTGTCAGCTGCCTGGCCGTCTTTTAAGCCAGCTCTTTCTTTTTACACTTTTTTCGTTTCTCCCTTAATAGATTTTATCATTTGACTTCCATTAGTAAGAATAGGATGGCGCGACAAGGCTTGAAAATTTGCAACGCTTTCAAGTTTGCTAAAAAATGCACTTTTCTGATTCATCTGCAAATTGGAACCAAATAAAAAAAGGACGAGCAAGGCTAAAGCTGCAAATGGATTTTTATTTATATTCACAAGATTATTTTCCCTTACTTCTAATTAGAATCTTGTCTCTCAGCAAGGCGCACTATTTAATATAAATATTTTTCCTATTATCCATCGCCTTTATTGGTTTTCATTTTCCGCTTCGCATAAACAAATTCTAGCCGTGTTTAGCTCTATCAAAACGTTTTGGTATAGTGGCTTTGGCTTATAAATTGTATAGCGACTGCGCGCTTTGCACGACAAATCCGTTTTCAAAAGTTAATTGAAAAATTTTGCTATTGACTGAAGTGGGCGACAAACACATATTTTTTTCGATATTCTATACTGGCCATTGACAAATACTCGGAAAAAAAGCAGCGATGGCTGAGAGATACGCTGTAAACAGTTTTGGAGCTTTAAAAAGATATATGTATGTAATATCTATATTTATCGATTAGATATCATATCATATACCTAAAATTTCAGGAGTTGAGAGACATATTTAAAATATTTGTAGTGGAAAATTTGTAACGGAATATGTACCTGAAAAAGATAAAAGACACATGCTAACTAATATCGATATTTATAGATATGCCAATCAAATATGGTATTTACAGAGAGAGCTATTGGAAAATGTATTTAAAATGTAAGGAATTATTATCAAATATCGAAGCAATATTGATATTTATCGATTAACTGGTAGCTACCAAATGCTTAACATATCAGCAGTTTTGGGATGGACTTCAAATATTTACACTGGAAAATATGGAAAGGTAAATATTAGTTAAGAAGAAAGACATACGCTAAGCAATATCGATATTTATTAAATCGATAAATATATATAACATACAACTCAGGCCTAATTTTCAGTAAACTTATTATCTTTTCATTGCAATAATACATATATAATATGTAATGGAATATTTATATTCTTTATATAGGATATAATTCATTTAGCTGCTTACTCGATCTTCCCTATAAGTACCTTGATTAGACCTTCCCAAAGATTCAGTATTATACACATTTATTAATATTAATATTAATAAGTAATACATATCCACTTGAAAGAAATCAGTTTCAAATAAATATTTGGTGACTCAATATCCATCCCAAAACTTAGCAAAGCTAGCACTGCCTCTCATCCCGTGAATCAACTCTCATTTTATGCATTATCAATGCAGGGCATAGCAATTGATAAAAGCCCTATGCATTTGATGATTTTTTTATCGCAGTTCATTCGACTAATTGCTCTCCTATGTATGCGTGAGTTTTTTTTTTTTCTGTTGTTTGCTTTTTATTGTTGTGCATAAGTGCATTATATGATGGTATTATAACGAGTTTGCATATAAATTGACACGCATTTCCGTTGCTATCGACGTCAAATGCAGACAGCTGATTTCAATTAAGGAAATTAACATTTGCCATAACTTTTTGATGGATATTGTTTGGCTAGCCGGCTCGGACAGGAGCTTTTCCAATATTGTCAAATGTTTGCCAATCGACATTGATGATCGAACACTGTTTTCTCTTAACCAAGTGCTCAATTATCTGCACCTAGTTTGTCAAGGTCGATTCGTGGCTTAAATCAACAATTGGGCCAGGAAAGTGAACCGCATGCAGAGCATCTCGATTTCAATTAAGAGATGATGGCAGCAGGAGTGGCAGGAGTAGCAGGAGTAGCAGCAGCATCAGCAGGTGCTGGCAAATACACGTTCGTTCCGAGGTG